CTGGGTTGCCATAATAGGTGGCCCCTGCCCATTCTAGTCCAAGCAGATCAACTTGATCCATGACTGCACCATCAGGCAAGATCAACTCATTTGTTAGGCCAGCACCATGTGCTGCCACGAATACATTGCACGAGTTTTATCAGATTGGCAAATATGTTCAAATTTGATACTACTTTTGCTCTTGCAACAACAATTACTCGAAAGCCTAACTCTTCCACCATTGCAACCATTTCATCTTCATTCAAAAATCTTCTTGATGTTCTACGAGATAAAAGCATTAACGTTGGCCTTTTGATCTGAGATACATGGCTAAACTCAAGATTATAGGCTTGTCGAAGAAACTGTCTCAAGTCATGCATCAAATGGCCTTTAGGGACATACTCGTATTCAAAGACAGATGGCCGTGAAACTTAAGTCCAACTAAACCTCCAGGAAAACAGTGCACACTTTGATTTGCAGCCGGATTCATGACCTCATTAGCCGGGAAAAAAAAATAATAATAATAAAATACAAGAATACATATAAAAATTTGAATTAGTGCCAAAATAAATCGAATCCAAACTAAAATAACAATTCTCGGCAACGGTGCCAAAAATTTGTCACGAAAATATTCTTTCGCTTGAAATCACCGCAAGTGCAAATTTCGTTAACAAATAGTAAAATGGATTTTAAGTCAAATAATCATTCCTACAAAGATTTTACTAGTTCAAATTCGAATTAACTTATCTTTAACTGAAAAAATTGAAATTTGTGATTTTTCCTGTAATTAAATAATCTACTTATGAATGCAAGATTTGACTTAACTAAAATAAATGAAAGATTAAAATTAAATGCAAGTTTTATAAAAATATGATAACCAAAAGCGTACTATGATCCAAAATCCCTTTTATGAATCCCCTTTAACTTCGAAACTTATAAATTTGACAATATGATTCAATTATGAAGAACAATATTTCTAATTTGTTTAACAATCTCCCTTGAGTAGAATTAAACCTATTTTTACATGTGACTCGACTATATTTTTATGACGGATGGGAACATATAAAAATGTATTAAAGGTTTATGAATACTTAAAGCTAACGTAAATCATAGCAGTATATTTTGATCATCTATCAGACTCTATGACAATTGACATAGTGTCTAACTTATTTTCAATCTTTCGAAGGTAAAATAAACCATAAAACTCATACAACTATTGCGCATTAATTGTAGAGAAAAATAAATCCATATTAATCATTCAATAATTTAAAACGTGTTTTGAATGTCAAAAATAAATAAAATTCAAAAACTAAAGGTTCATGATGTAAGTTTCATCGTAATCCTAGCAAAAAAATAATATGGCTACTCATAATGTCAGAATTAAACAAATAAAGGATAAAAGACACGACCAGTAAATTGACGAAACGTTATTAATTCCCAAAATTCTTTCACAAATATTGATGAATTGCTGCACAAGAATCTGAAGTTTTTTCCAATTACGTTGCCGTCTCTGCCTCTCAGCCGTGTTTTTCCAATTTTTATCGGCCGTCTTTTTTTCTTCTTGTGCGACCTTTTTTTTTTCCTCTTCTTGGCTGCCTTTTTAATTCCCCAGAGCAACCAACTTCCCTTCCCTTTTCTCTACAATTCTCTACTTGCTTTTTTTTTTTTCAATGAAAAATTTCATATGTAAGAGATTAAGGGCATGTTCGGAAGATATTAAAATTAGATTAAAATTGAAAAAATAGCCGTTATTGTCTACTTTTATTAGACGAGTGAAACCCAATAACGACTATATTTTTAATTTTAATTGGATTTTAATATTTACCAAACAAGCACTAAGTATGATCAATTTCAAAATTAGGAAACAAAGTTTGAAATTTCAAAAATCAAATATTAATTATATTCTATTTATGAAATAATTAATTACAAATATATTTTATAAATTAAATATATTAAGGTCATAATTCTATTTATTTGGTCACATTATTTCCCGATAACAAATCAAAAATTGTATAGGTCACAATCTATTCATCGGTCACAAATCAAAAAAAAATATAAGTCGCTATTTATTTATTAGTCCCAAGTGACAAATTTTATAAGTCATGACTTAAATTTTTAGGTCACATATTATTTATTGGTTACAAGTTTGTTCACGTATTATTTATAGGTCACAACATCTTCAATTTACTGGTCACATCTCAAATAATTGATTATATAGTATTTATTGGTCACAAATTAATTAATTTATTGGTCACAATCAACCAAATAATTTGTGACCACCATCATGAGTTAATACCCTAAATAGTCACTGAACTTTGTCAAAAGTTCCCAGGAGGTTACCGAACTTCAAAATTTTACTAATTAGTCACTGAACTTTGCAAAAAGTTCGTAGGAGGTCACTGAACTTCAAAACTACCCTAAATAGTCACTGAACTTTGCTAAAACTTTTTAGGAGGTCATCAAACTTTGCAAATTGTGACCCCATACATCAATGATTTAGTGACTTCTATGAATTTTTTGCAAAGTTGAGTGATTATTTATGGTAGTTTTGAAATTCAGTGACCTCCTAAGAACTTTTTATGAAGTTCAGGGAAGTTTTGAAATTCAGTGACCTCTTGAGAACTTTTAACAAAGTTTAGTGACTATTTAGGGTATTAACCTCACCACCATCATTTATGAGCATCACCTCACCACCACACCACACCGCCGTAAAAAACCACCGCCAAGCCACCCCATCAACTCACGACAAATGGTCAACACCACTACACACTACACACCCATCAAAGCTAACACCATGTCGCCAACATCATCGCACACAACACCATATCCAACCACTGGTCAACACAACTGCACAACCACCACCGCACCGCACACCACCAAGCACATTACCACCGCACCCAACCTAACCACCGCACTGTACACTACCAAAGCACATCACCACCGCACCCAACCCAACCCAACCACCACACACTGCACCCCAACCACACAACCGCACAGTACCATCGAACCAACCAACGCACACCTCTACCATCACCGCTATAAAACCTACATACTATCACCACCACCGCACCACCGAATCACCACCGAATCGTACCACACCACTTAAAAACAAAAAAGAAGAAGAAGAATGGATCTACATCGTGTGCCATGGCGATGTGCTGCCACGCACGAAGGAAAGCATTTGCTATGCCGTGATGAGTCGTCGGAGTGAGTAACTTGAGAGTCGCTAGAGTAGGTTCAAATGAAGCAGCGGGGAAATGATATTTTCAAAATGAATTAGGGTTTGTGGGGTAGGTAAAGTGAAGATTGCAAATTAATTTAATTTAATATTATTATTATTATTATTATTATTATTATTAAAAATTCAATGAGCATCTGATTTTTGAACAAAAAACTTTCAAATCTGATTTTTGAAATGGTAACTTGAAAATTTTGGTTCCATGTAATTTTCATTCTTTTAATCCCCAA